TATATATATATATTATGCATCCTATTGATATATCGATTATTTATTTAATAAATACAAGAGCTACTGTTTATAATATTATGTTATTAAATTAATACACACAATAATTTTGTTCATTATAAATTGATTGAAAACTTGAAAATACTAATCGTTATATATGAATTATGGGTATTCGTATTAATCGCATATGTGCATCGTAAAAGGGTTCCCATTCGTTTTTAAAAGGGTTACAAGAAAGAAATTTCGATACGTAAAAAACGTTAGCATGAAATAATCTGTATCGTGTGGCACGTTACTTTGTTCGGATTGAAAAAAAAAAAAACGAAATGATAAACAATTTAAATGTTCCGAAGTATTTGCATCTATGAGTGTGTGTGTGTGTATGAAAATGCATTGAACAGATTCTACAAAGTAATTAAGTATCCGACGATAAATTAAATAAGAATAAAAGTAAGTATTTGAAAAGAGATTTTCAATTGGAATAAAAGTTTTCTAGAGTATTCGTATAGGTTTATCGATTACTTATAGGACATTGACTTAATTAACAGTTTGATTCTACGTAAATTGCATGATAGCAAAGAAACAAGATTGAACATCCTGTGTTAAGTATGAGAACAATTTCATATATATATATATATATTTATGTATTACACATACATACAAATACTTTCTTTTTTATGAAGACAGCTGCATGCTTTGCTATCTTATCAGTTTGTACTATCACCGGAACGTGTTGCCTTCTTGCTCGAACATACAGTTTTTTAAGAAAAGAAATAAGAAAAAATTATATGATAGAAGACTCTCTCTCTCTCTCTCTCTCTCTCTCTCGCAAAACAATGTACTCTAATCTGTTAAGGACAACTATTCTATAATATTACTGGTTCACAGAAGTGACTTTATAGAAAAGATTAGACAACGTTGATACAATGTAACAACATTGTTATTTTGAATCTAGTATAATATGTAGAAATAACATACGGAGAATATTAAAAAGGAATAAATATTTCACAACTGGTTGTAAATGTTTTTTTAAATCGTTTTAAATTCTTTTACGAAATGATCGATCATTTTTTCAACGAATGTCTCTTATACGTACGTCATTAATTATTTCATAAGCACGTTGTTTAGAATATCATAAAAATATAACACATTTGTTAGATATTAAAATCTTATAAAATGTATTCCAAAATGACAATTTGAAAAATGAATGACGGTGATTACGAGTGCGTGTAATCGAACACGGTTAAAATTAGCATGAGTCACGGTCTCTCCAAGGAAGGTGAGGTAAGTGAAGTTTCTTATCGTACAACGATAAGCGAAGTATATCCTAAAGAAACGAATACACGTATTAATGTAAAACACACGAGGAGGCACTTGTTCGCTTCTATATAACAGAATCCTCGTTAAATTGTATACCCAATGGCCCCGCCCAATTTTCATTGGTTGTATCGACGAATCGACTAAAGGATAACGTGAACTTCAATCGAAAAATTCTCATTCAATCGGATAAACGGAATAAATAATTAATAAGAAGGTATCATAGGGAGTTTGGATATAAAAAAAAAGAAATAGAACTTAATTTTGATAAGTTGGACGTTTCGTCCCTTTATTGGGGACTTCTTCAGCAACTGGAAATTTTATTTTATTGTTATTTGTATATTACGAAATACATGAGACCCATACATTCTTATTAAGAATTTTATTTTTGGACGAAAGAAACAACTAATGAAATAAATAATAATTACGAGTAATCGTATCTTTTTTTTCTAAATATTTCATTGAATAATTCGCATAAATAACAACAAAAAAATCATACAGATTTTGTTTTTAAATCTACCAGGGAAAATTTAAATGGCGGTCAATTTAAAATTCAAATCACAATCGTCAAGATCCTGTACTCGTAAGAAACTCTTCGATTATTTTTGTCTCTTTATGATTCTAATCATTTGGAAGTTTAAAAATATGCATCATCGAGAAATTTGCGTGACGTATCATCTTTTTTCTCCAGACTCTGCTACAAAAATGACAGATCGTTGTTCGTTGTCACATTGTACTCTTCCACAGATCTCTCCTTCTTTCTGTTACTCTTTCTATCTCGTTCTGGCACATGCCAGACGACGACAACGAGCGTGAACCGACGGAATGAGAAAAAAGGGTTCTCGTCGTTCATCTAAACGAATGTTACTTGGCTCGTCGATCCGATCGATCCGTCTTAAAAGGTCGTACACGTTTCTTATTTGCGAGAGTATATATACGTGTGATATATAGAGTAAGTAATAGTGTAAGAAGACAAAAAAAGAAAGGCTTAAACAGATAGAAAAAGAGAACAAATAACTAGCGAGAGAAAGAAAAGAAAAAAGAAAGAAAAAAAAAGAAGAAGAAGAGTCTGTTGTCATTGTTAGAAAAGCAACGACGAAACTCGTCGTCGTGGGCGGTCTCTCGGTAATTGGATATCTCCTGCATTGAGAATAAAACTATTTCGATATTATTTCTTCCTAGAGTTAAATACAACTATATAAATAATTGCATTAACGATAAGGAAAGTAAAACGTGCGCCCGTGCGAAAGAGAAAGAGGAAAAAAAGGGAAAGGAAAGAGGGGAAGAAAACAGATGGAAAGAGAATAGTAGGTGGTGTACCTTGTACGCAGGAAACACGCAGGAGAGGCGCGTTCGGTTACTACACGACCAATGACAGCGACGTTTTAAACGGCATTTTTAAGGGGCGTTTTAACCGGCAACGATGACGACGCGTGACTCTCTTCTTCTTCTTAACGCGATTCGATGAAACCAAGTTCTCTGCTCTACGAAATGAATTTCGATCGGATAAAAGGACATCATCATCATCATATGTCGCGTTTTACTATGTCGACCTATCTTTAGGCACGCACGAAATGGCCAACAAGTCAATTCTTCGAATAAGAAGAAGGGGAAGAGGAAGGATAGAGAGAGATAGAAAGAGAGAAAGAGAAAGAGAAGACGCTCGCGACCTCGTGGAGGTCGGTTACTTCTTCGATGTCGTTTGCCATTGAATAAAGAAAGAAAAGAAGTGTGCGAGGAGTCTTTGCTTGTGTATGCGTGTGGGTGAGAGAAAAAGGATAGAAGAAGATACATGTATATAGTATTGCAAAGTCTACTCACGTAAATGAGACCGGAGTAATAACGATCCTTTAGATTATGCAGGACGGAAGCCTCGTTGAGGCACGTGAGCTCTGCCATATCCTCGACCTTGTCGAACTTTGGCGGGTTCATCTTCTGGATGTCATCCCTGGCGACGTGGACGCGTTTGCCGGTCTCCGCGATTTCAACTTCGACTTCGTCGCCGCGTTCGCCTTTGATACCGGCGGCAACGAAGCCCTGAGTTTCGTGAGGCACCCAAACCAATTTCTTTTGCGTCCATTCCGCTTGGGTAGCTGGATCATTGAAACTGTTTCTGTCCACTGACAAGTATCTCAATTCCGGGTCTGACCGGTCTACCCTCGAATCTATATCCGCCATCTTTGTTTGGTAGTAAGCGCGCACACAATGCGATCGAGCAAGTATTCCTCTCTCTCTCTCTTTCTCTTTCTTTTTTTTTTATCTCTCTTGGTCACTCCTTTGCTCCTTTTTCTATTATCTTTTCCTTGGAACGTGCACGAAACGACGATAACGACACGACGACGGTGACGATCGCGACGATGGTCACGACGACGACGACGACGACGGTGACGGCAACGACTCTTTTCCGAAGTTTGTCGATGTTCGTTAGGTAGGACACACACCGTACACGCTCAAGCCCATCCACGGGAGCGTCTGTCTTTTAACCCGTTGGCCTCCGTCTTCGAACACGGCTCGTTTTCCTTGGCCGTAGGTAGAGTGTCGGTGATAGCAGTAGTGGTAGTAACAGAGGTACGACCGAATCGCACCGCATATGTAAGAAGACCCACCGGGGAGTGTGCTCACTTTCTAGCATACGTCGCTCCTCCTCTCTTTCTCTATCGCTATCTCTTCGTTCCTTTTCTTTTCCCTTTCTCTCTCTCTCTCTCTCCCACCCTCCCTCTTATACGTTCGATAGCTCTCACTCGTATTTTTTTCTCTCTCTCTCTCTCTCCTTCCCTGTGTCCTTCTTTTTTCTTTTCGTAAATCTCGACAACGCTGACAACTTCGACTTCGACTTCGACGACAACGACGAGAACGATGAACGACAAACTACGAATCGGCCAGTTTTGGCTACTCTTCGATTCTGATATCTCGGCCTTACCGTTTCCGACTGTCTCGATTCTTCAACCGAACGAGTCCTTCTACCGCGTGCTTCTACCTCCTTTCATCCTCCCACTCTATAGCTTTCATATTCCATCCTTTTCCCTCCCAATTCTCTACCGACATGCTCTCTTTCGCCGTTCCCTCTACCAATCCTCCCCTCCAGATTCTCTTTCTCTTGTATATACTCCTCCCTCTCCCTCCTACTTCTTCTTCTTCTTCCTTTTCCACGTTCGTATTTACGTACGTCGTCGTACGTACGCACGCACTGCACGCACGCATGCACCTTTTACCCCACTCTCTCTCTCTCTCCCGCCCTTTCACTAACTATCGTTAAATTCGAATCGTTTGCAGTTCCGAATGAAGCCACGTGGCATTCCCGACAGTTTCAACGGTAAAACATCGAGATTCTTACCTTCGGTTACGTTTTTAAGGCTTTTTCGACAAATTATCTATCGTAGATGGCGCACGTGACGGGGTCTTTCATTCGTGGAAATTGCACCAATGGCTGAACGATTTAAATGATGTCCAATTAGCGTTTTACATTTCATATAAAGTATTCTTTGATTGATGCACTTAAAACAAATGAACAATTACGTAACATTGCTTTTCCGTCATTTCCGTTAATTTAAAAATTTAAATTTTAAATCTAAATTATTTATTATTGAGGCAATCGCTGTAAATAATTGTTTAACCTTGTATTTTAAATAAAAAGCGACATCTCTAGTAATAAATTAAAATTAACAAGTACTGATATAATAATTTATGCAATAAGTAAATGTTCTACTTCCTGTCGCTATTTATAGAGTTTAGTGTGTGATACGAAAGTTGAACGAAATAATAACAAAAATTTTTCTTTTACAAATAAATGTACAATATGTCAGATATCAATAAAGGATACTGGAATTTCGACGTTTCAAATCATGAAAATAATGTAAGAAAATAATAATGCATTTAATAATTTATTTCGAAGTAATCGAATCTAACAAAACATCGAATTGAATAGAATCGAATCGATCGAATTTCTTTGCCCAACGAATATAATCACGTCAATCAGTAGTTATCAATTTTAATCGATAATTGCATGACAACGTTACTTTAATATAATATTTTTTCAGTATACTGTCGTTGATTTACGAAGCGATACGCTTACGAAACCAACTAAAGCGATGCGACTTGCTATGTTTAACGCCGAAGTAGGAGACGACGTTTACGAAGAAGATCCAACAGTAAAAAGTATTTTAACAATAGTCGATTTAAAAACGCTTAGACCTTTTGTTTATAAGCTCTAATTTTTAAATTATTATTATTTAAGGACTAGAAGAAAGAGCTGCTATGTTGACCGGAAAGGAAGCTGCGCTTTTTGTTACTTCCGGAACAATGGGAAATTTGATTGCTAGTCGGTATTTCTGTTCTTTTTTTCTTCTATTCAAAGATTATTAATTGGCATCTGGAAGAAATGCAAATATATTGATATTATAATATCAATTATTTATCGTTACTTTACAGTATTAACTCATTGCGATGAACGTAGTAGCGAAGCTTACTGTGGCGAAGATTCTCATACAATATTACACGAGCAAGGTGGTGCTGCTCAATTAGGAGGCATTAGTTTATATCCCTTGCCAAATAATCCCGATGGGAGTTTTGATTTATCGTTACTTCAAAATAAACTTCGTAGAGATAGATTACACGAGCCTACCTCCAAATTAGTCATTGTAGAAAATACAATCAATGGAAAAGTCGTACCTCAAGATTGGATTATAGAATTGGCTGAATTGACCAAATCTCACAATCTTAAATTACATTTAGATGGAGCAAGAATATGGAATGCTGCAGTAGCATCTAATACATCTGTCGAAGAACTCGCGTCTGTATTCGATTCGGTTACATTTTGTTTAAGCAAAGGATTGGGAGCTCCGATCGGTTCCTTATTATGCGGAGATGCAGACTTCATTCGTAAAGCAAGAAGAATACGAAAGGTTTTAGGTGGAGGTATGAGGCAGGTTGGTATTATCGCGGCTGCTGGATTCGTATCTCTAGAAGAAATCGTACCATTGTTAAAGGAGGATCATAAAAAAGCAGCTCTTATTGCACGAGCAATCAATGATTTAAATTCCAAAACGTTTAGCGTCGATGAGAAAACGGTACAAACGAATATAGTATTTGTAAATATACATTCCAAATATATTACTTCGGAGAATTTTGTAGAAAGACTTGTACAAGTTCAAGATGATGCGGAAGATGATCAAATAATAATCAAATGTTTGCCTTTAACAAGTACTACCGTTAGATTTGTCTTGTATCACGAAATTACTGAGACGATGTTGGAAGCGGCCATACGTAAAATCAGATATGTTATCAATCGTATGGAGGATGCAAATAAACCATCGGCATAAATCTATAAAATAAATAATTAAATGACGGTCTAATATATATATATATATATATGTATATATTGTAACATAAAATATATATAGCAAAGTTCTTGGGTTTATACGATTTTATTACTTTTATGAGGATCCTCTTGTCCTGACAACAAAGACGAGGTTTGACCATTCGATATAAATTGTTTTGAAAATTTGAATAAAAGTACACCGTTTAACGGGTACGCAATTGTAATTGGCTGACGAAATGATTCAGGATATATAAGATTTCTCGGCCGATTGTTGTTCTCTTCTGTTAACTTTGGAATGCATCGTTCGTAGGTTCATCTTCATCCTCATCTTCTTCACCTTCGCTCTCGAAGGTATTATCAGGTATATCGTATAAACGAATCATAGGCTTATTAGGATCTTTCATAATCAAGTATTTTCCATCTTTTTGCTTCATACAAATATCAATAATACATCTCAATATGCCCCAAGCATTATCCATATTCAAATTAATTTGAGTGGCAAATTCATTGGGTTTATATTGTTGGGTACCAAGGATTACGTGTTTGCTAGAATCACGTACGATAGCACGTGAAACGTATCCGAATTTCAACTGATCCGATCCGGCTAATATCGCTTGAACGGTCCACTTGGCTAATTTGCAAGCATTATTTCTAAGTTCATTAGCTAGTACTGCACCACGTTGGGTATCTAATTTCTGACGCCACTCGACACCATTTGCAAGTTTAGAATCCCATTCGTTCAGTGCCTTGATGGTTAAAAATTGTGTTTCGTTATTCGGGCCTTGCATCACGGCGTCGTGTTCGCACCGAGCAACTAATACGATACCATTGTTAAGATCATATTTACGATAGCGATATGCTACGCTAGCTACATCACTTTCTTCCTCCTCGGAAATAAATGGATTTCCTTCGTCGAACTTGTAACGTGGTTCATTGGATTTAAGCACTTGTTGGGAGAAATTATGATTGATAAACGTTGCCTCTAACGCCAAATTTCTTGGCGAATTTAATGAATTTCCATCATCTTGGGGTGGTTCTACGCTAGTCTCGTTGACAGTTAAAAGATCGAATTCGGTATTATCTCGTTTGTCAAAGAATAACTTGTCTCCAATTTTTTCAATCACTATATCCCATGAATAATTGCTACGAGTGCAACACATAATCGTAGCGAGTATCGCGTCAGTAGCATAGACGTTGCCTTCGGTTTTCGATAATTTACGAATAATAGGATCGTCGGTGGTAGTTACAGTATGGAAAATACGATCGATTCTTTGCAATGGTTTCTCGTTCTTGACATTAACTCTGTCATAAGTTTTGTCATAATACTCTAATGATCCACAACATAGTATGTCCTCGCCATCTTTAACACTGGGCAATGAAAGTTTGGCTAATCTTGGGAAATCCATTTCTTCTATGGTCATCCAATCTGGTCTTACGGTAACAGAAGCATCCCGAATCTTAATGGGTGGTTGATTTTTATGATTTCTCAATCCTTGTTGTCTACCCCAACGTTTAGTTTGTCCCTTGCGTTCGCGTTCGCGTAACTTTAGTTTAGCAAGCTGCAGCATTTGACTCAATGCACCACGTTGACCTCCACGCCCACGCAAGTTACGCTGGTTGTGCCTGAACCTACCACGTTGGTAAGGTGGTTTTTGCACTCTGGTTGTATCCACAAGGTGGAATGTACTTTCATCCTCGTCATGATAATAAGCATATTGACTTCCCGAGCCAAATTGAGAAGTATATTTGTCTGAAAAATAATAACAGTTTAAAATCGTATCGCGCGGATCATTGGGACAAAGGAAAAAACATTTTAATAATTAGTACATCCTCGTATCACGTCATTTTTATAAATCAGAAAAACTTCTTTATAAATTCTTTTATGAATGATTATAGTAATTAAAAAATAATCAATGCCAAGCGAGTCAAGTGACGTAGGACATACAAATGAAGAAATAAAAAAAATAAAAAAATACGAACTTGGAAATTTCTTATCTTGAAATGCTGGAGCAGTCCAATCGCAGATCTAAAATAAAAAAAGGTTTACGTAAGAAATTGATTATGATGATCAAACAGAAAAGACATGTGTTATCTTACTTTTCCTAGCCTGTCTCCTTTGGAGAATGGTTGATAGGGGATATCCTTAAATTGATCTGGCAATTCGCACGGACCCCAGCCATCAGGATTATGTTGTATTGCAGGCGCTTGGAAATGAGCTCTTTCCTCTTTTTGATCGCAATCGTCCAATTCTACAACTTCGTCCATTGTAATTATTCGAATTAAATATGCGTTATAATAACTCAACACAGTACACTGAGCATCGTGCTGAAAACGTTCACAGCGGAAAGACCGGCGCCGCCATTTTCATAAAATTAGGACGACATGGCGCACACTTCCGTTACTTTATAAACTTCCCATAACGATTTGTCCTAAAGGCGAATACACAATGAAACAAATCAAACAAAAATGTTATCTATATTGATTAATACGAAAAAGAAATCTTATCGTTAATTGTATTATAATAGATAAGTAAACCATTACACGTTTATTTATTATTTATTCGGTCAATAAAGAAGCAAGAAAAATTCCACCAATGAGAAGATCGGATATCTAGGAACTTTTATTGTTGCGATAGAAGATAGTTGATGCAACGTACGGTTTAAATTACTAAGTAAAAGTACTGTTGTTCTTTGATGGTTTCCAGGGAAACCATCTATACCATGTGTTCGAAAAATATTAACTGATCTGATTATATCGTCCAAGTTGTTTGACACACTCGTGTCCATTTCAATGTAACGCGCGATAAGAGCTATATAATTATTGCTAGAACGCTCGTTCGCATTTAGTTTTGCATTATTTTGCAATTTTAAATATACGTAAAAACTTATAGATTACATTAACGTCAAATTAACTTCACGAATAGTCCCACGAATGCTGACCGTAAAATATAATGACGTACATTAATTAAAAGGCATGACTTAGCATTAAACTTAATGAAGTATTCTTGGGAATGATATAGTTCTTGGAAAATATATATATATATATACATATGTCTTTTTATTCATTAATTTATGTAACGTTAAAAAATATTGTTATACGATAATAAGTACTGGCAAACTAAGTCGATTCGATGACGATCGAGTATTAAGTTAAAAAGAAAAGTGATGCGTGGGCGGATAGTGTACGTTATATTTCAGTACTCATGACTCACGGCCAGGTGTTCACGATCTTCGTAGCCATCGTCGCTTATCCCTGCGTCATAATCGTAAAAGAGCGTTCCTTTGTCCATCGAGGGTCCGAGATACTTGACCTCAGGAAGTATATACGTATATATGTACACATATGTCTACTTAAAGTGTGTATAGCTGTACAACAGCGGCAGATGAACTTTCGTACCGGGTGCCCCAAAAAATTATACTGTTAACAACGAATTTCGAGAAATGTCATTTTTATTGAGAAAATTCTTTTCTTTCAGAACAATACGCGAAGAAACGTTTACTTTCAAACTGACAAATTGGATTAATCGATAAAAGAACACTTTTTTTTTTAAATTATTACAGTTAAGGTAATAATTAAAAATGTTGTAAGAAATGATAAGGGGAAAAAAAAATAGAACAAAATAAAAAAGAAATTGGTAACTAGTACATATGATGTAAAGTAATTGTATACAAAGATGTTAGCAACGTGTATGAAAAAGAAACGTTTAAAAGACAGCTGTCTGAAGCAATTTGTTGTCCATAAAACTAATGGAGCACCAGCAGTGGATCTTAGAAAGGCTGTGTCTCGTATTTCTTTTCGAAAGCAACGGTTCCCCAGAAAGATTCACAGAAAGAGAGGTGGTCGTACCCAAGAATTTAATCGAAGAGAGACGGAAATGGACAGATGGTTGGCGAGATCCTGTGATACCAACCAAGCAACCGGGTGGGCACCTGGTTCGTTGGACCGAAGAAAGAGAAAGAGCCCGAACAAAATATAAGATTGCAACAAAACTGCAATATATATTATACGTACGTTGATGCGAATAACATCGACAAAATATTGTCCAAATAATAAATAGGAGCATGCGCGCGCGTGCATTGAAATATTTGTCGAAATAGTAAAAACAAATGAGAAACAAAAAAGGTTGTAAATATCTTTAAGTGAATTCGATAAAAGAAAATCTATAGTCGGTATATAGTTGATTATATAAGAAGAAACGAGTACACAGGAAGGCCTTAACTAGGCTAATGTCTTCTCAAAATACCACGAAGGACTCTCGTGCGCTTAGCACGTGCGTGATATATTCTACGTATATATGTATGTATATACATATAATACCGAGTATGACTTTGAAAAGAATGATCGGTGAGATTTGATGAAATAGTTGTATCAGAGGTAGAGAGAGGGAGAGATAGAGAGAGAAAAAGAGACACTAAAATTTCACATATGGGACATATGTCTGGTGTCTGCGTGCATATACGTAGTATCAGTAATATAATAGGACCGAAGTGTAGAAACATGCGGTTTCGAGCGCTCGTAAAGTATTTCCCTGCACGTACCATCGAAAGAAACTAACCTTCCAGATAATACACTCTGGCTGCGGCTACGTATACGTATACTTTCGTGAAAGGAACTCGAGTATATTGTGTGCACGCGACGAGCTGGATTCTTATGGGTACCGATCACGAGCCGATCTATACTTAGAAACGGGCGAGAATAACGTGGCTTAGATACGCGGAACTCTCTCTTGTCTTTCTCTGCCCACCCTCCCGCAGCTCGTGTTCCTCCTCCTCCTCCTCCTTCTCATTCTCATCCTACACTCAAATTTTATCTCCTTTTATTTTTTAACCATCTAACCACTACGATGAGAAATCTTTCTTCGATGCGCGTCGTCCTAAGTTAACAGCGCGCGTAAGGGGAATTCGAGGGATTCGATCCTCTTATATTCCAGACTGACCGGTCGAAAGACCGGACACGATTCTTTACATCCACCAAAGGATCTTTCTTGCGAATGTGAATATCATGTGATATGTAACTTACATACCGAAATACCTTACTTCTTAAGCATATACCTGTTCTTCATATATATATATATATATATGATATATACACTTACGTATTATTAATACACATAAAGTTTCCTTACGAAGAATCATAAAAAAGAATAAAAAGAAGGAACAAAAGAAATCATCTTTCATTGGAAAACATAATCCATGTAGGAGGACAGCACGTCATTCCCATTGCATCGTTTAAACGATCACGAAATAGCCATTTATACATTATACTTTCAGCAACACGCCATTACTGGTTAGAGTGAAAGTACTTCCCAGAACATTATTTTCTACAGCACGTCTACCATTATTGGGATCATTACTATTCTGTTTAATGCATGACTTTCAGTACTATCGATTCACTAGACCGAGAAAACCTTGAAATTAAATTCTTGGTAAAGACTGAGCGAGAAGGATGATGATAATGATGATGATGATGATGATGATGATGATGATGATGATGGTAGATGAACGTTCAAAGAGAAATCGCTACCTCCATGCTTCGATTAACTCTTATAGAATTTAACTCGCGAACTATTTCCAATTAATATATATACGTATGTGTATGTTGTCTAAAGGTAAATAAGATTTTCCAAAAAGTGAACAAAATTTAATATGAAAACAACAAATAAAGAATAATAAAACGTTAAACATTTTTTTCGATTAAACACTTATCTAACATTTTTATCAGAAAACTTTGTGTACTATCGGAATAGGAGGAGAATCTTTCTAAAAAGACTTGATATCGTGCGATTTCCCGGTAAATCATTGACGTTCTCTGGATATCGTAACACAGATGGGATGAGAAACAGAGAGGATTGTGGCTAGTTGCCCGTACCGCTACAGAATAGTAGTGTATACATACGCGAGTTCCGCAGATAGGAACGATGACGCGATTCGAGCGAGTTTGTACGTAAACCAGTTAGGCGGAATCCACTTTTCCCTGAGGCATAAACCTTTTCGCCTAAACGCGGGTAATACGGATTACAAGAGAGAGAGAGAGAGAAAGAAGGGGGAAGGAAAGAAAGATAGATAGCCTTCGGGCCCGGCATCATACTCGGCAACGGCAACAGCAACGGCATCGGCAACGGCAACGGCGTCGGCATCGGCGTCGGCGTCGGCATCGGCGTCGGTGTCGGCGTCGGTGTCGGCGGCAGCAATAAGCCAAGTTTCTCAGACCTCATCGAGCCACTGTCCTGCTTTCCACGATTTCCCTCACCGTCGTTCACCCAATCGTACTACCGTTCTTTATCCCCACTTTATCCCCACTTCATCCCCATTTTATCCCCACCATATCTACTTTACCGCCGCGTGCGGCCGCGTCTGTAATTATATATTCATTCAATGGAGTCAGTCTGTCAGTTGCTCGTGGAGAATCCTCGCGGTGTAGAACTTAAGTAACTTCAGTTTTTTCTTTATTTCTTTATTTCCTATTATGGTTCATATGACGTTTAAAACAATCTTAAAACATATATATCCTTTAGATTTATTCTATATTATTTTTCCCCAATTCCAAGATATCTTTTCTATTTTCTTCCTTTTTCTTTCCCCTCTCCCAATAGTAGTATACCTTTCCATTCTCTCATTCGTCGAACTTGACGTACTTCGGAGAAACGGAAATAAAAGGAAGTCGTGTTACAATATATCTTAGGAACGACTTTTTATATTTTTAACAGACCGCGACCGACCCCCCATAAGAGATTTATACCTGAGAAACTTTCTTTCTGTCAACGTACGTTTGGTGTTCCTACTGAAAGTGTCCGACAGTGATGTGTAACCCTCATCGACGTTCCCAGTACAGTATAACGATTCTTGGAAAAGGTGAAAGCAATTATGAACGTGCGAGCCAAATGTATTTCGAGGAAATTTCTTTGAGAATTTCTCCTTGAGATCGTCCCAGCTTTCTTCTTCTTCTTCTCCTTCTTCTTCTTCTTCTTTTTCGTCTCTTCAGTTCCTGAATGTCCTCTGTGAGGATCACTAATCCTGGAGACGAGACAACGATTTAACAAAATAATTTTGGTAAGAGAATAAATTCATTATTATAATATTATAGCGAAATATTTCATTTTACTTTAATATCTGTTAGATATTTTCTTTCAACTATATGATTTCTTTTTTTGTATATTTTAAGCAATTAAAAATTGTTGTTGTTCAACAACAAAAAATATATTAAAATATGCAATATATGAAGTATCGAATATAATGTGCATTATTAGTAAAAATGTATAGAGATAATCTTTTCATTAAAGGAACATTTTTTTTGTTCTTATGTTAAATGAATTTGATACTGTTACCTTTGAAGTGCATATAATATAATAATCAAAGAAAATGCATATTTGTTATTTTGTTCATTGCTTTAAATAATAGATTGTAATAATTATTACAAGTCTTTAAGACCATAGATTACAACGTGCTGGATATGTTTGTAGTATTGTACGACCATGGAAGTCTTAATCTTAAAGTAGATAAATTTCTTGCTTGTAAATTTGTAAATATTAAAGATATTAAAGTTTCTTACATGTAAATATTTATTTTAAATTCGGTGTGTGCAACTAAAAAGAAAAAAAAATGACGAAATAATTCTTAAATCAATAAAACTATTCCATTATAACCTTCTATTTGCTTACTCAGTTTCATTTGTCATGATTTCTGAAAACTTGTGACTCTATGGAAAGTATTTAAATAATGCATATATATATAGAAACTTATTCTAAATTTATTATAAACAGAACTCGCGTAAAATTATAAAAGTGATATTTAAATCGAGAAAATGATTACAATATAATATTTTTCATTCATTTATTCGGTTTCATATTTACCTTGGCCTATTTTAAAAGAAATAAAATATCTTATATTTTTAATCGAATAACTTGAATAATTTCCTTTTTAAAATCAAAATGTGTGATTAGAATATAAAAATAAATAAAAAGGAAAAAAAATAAAGAGAAGAACTATGTGTATACATATATAGATTACATAAATAGTATATATACAATAGGTCATAAAGAACAATCAATCTGACCACTTAACATCATAGAATGTTGTATACTGTAATAACTAACGTAATCACTTTAACGTATGTATGTTGATTTGTTGGGATGCAATTGAAATGCAAAAATGTTTAATTCCGTTAGGAATCGATGAGAGAAATGAAGCGGAACATAGAGACGACAATAAAGACACCGAGTCAACTTTTACGTAATAATACCAAGAATACCGATCGTAATTCTTTTCTCGTTATTTATTAGTTTCACACTGGTGGTCGTGAAAATCGTTATATAGTAATAGTTTACTCTTGGAAAAGCTAATATACCAGTCGTTTTGTTACACTAGTTCACATTTCCAACAGATATATATCTACTATTTCTCTTCTATTTCTTATTCGCAAATCGTATATAACGATTAAATTTACAAGATAATTAAATAAACTTATAGAATATCCAAAAAAAATACGAGATAAAGTAAAAAGATAATAGTTACGTATGTGTAGAACTGTCGTGTGTGATATGTTTCAAGGTTGACAGAATGTGTGGCTTCTGTTCAAGGCAAGCAAAGCAGTATTACTAGGAAGTTGTACGTGTTTTGTGACGGACCGAATACAAACCCTCTCCTTCCCCTCCTCCTCTTCCTCCTCCTTTTTCCTTTAACTTTGAAATCGTTAAATTTACGGCTTGATTTTATTCAAACGTAACGATTTTTACGACTTCTTTTAACAACAACCTTTTCGCCTCGATAATAATAAATATGACAAATCATTTGCATTTGGTCTCCTTTTTTTTTTTTCTTTTTTTCATTAATTCGATATTGTTTCTCTTCCTTCTTTTTATTATAGTTGTATACGATAAATATTCATTAGGTCGACGAATTTTTTCGAATCGAAAACGGGCACTCGGATTCTCGGTAAACGAATCCCGGTTACACCGTTACTTGAATTTATTAAGTTCTACGCCGATCGTTCCATCGTTTCGGATTTGCATACGAAGTACTTTGTGTGACGTATATGCACATGCGTGCATATACGTATTTACATATCAATTTGTGTGTGTGTGTATATGTACGTTAGTAAGATGAATCGGATCGACGTGAGCGAAATGACGAAAATGCGAGTGACCAGGAAGGATACGAATTTACCCTCTTTCTTATTCTTTTCTTTTCTTTTTTTTCTTTTTTTCTTTTTGTAAATTTCATTGTAAATGGGGTTAGAAGAGTAGTAGTAAATCCTCGGTTTAAAATTTCCAAAATAATCTTCCTTTTGTAATTCTCTTTTTTCGTCATTATTTTTCTTACTTTTTGTTTGTGTTTGTTTGTATGCAACATATGACATATCGTTGCATTCTTGTTAAATTAACCCATTTGATAATATTATCAATGTCTCTCTCGGAAACGCATACACGCGCACGCATTGTATGCGATTACGCAACGTTTAGCCTGAAATCGTCATTACCGTTGCCTTTACTAAGATTATAAAAGCCACTAAGGATTTCGTAGAATCGATTACACCAAATGGATTCTTATGAACCTTATCAAACCAGTTCGTTAGTGTTTCTTTCGGATATTCATTGATGTTACAAGCTAATTTGAAATGCTTTAGTTCTTGGAACCAGACCCGAAAACTATCTATTTGTTTCTTTTTTTTTTTCTTTTTTTTTAATTCCCACTTAAGATAAATTTAGCGAGTCATAAAGATAAGGAGTTCTAACATTTTTATTGGCAAGGAAAAAAAAAAGAAAATGAAAATAAAATGGTGCTCCAAAAATTCCGACCATTCTTCGAATCGTTCAAAATCAATTTCACTTGGGACCAACACGGGGGGAAAGAATTTTATTGACTAAAAATAAAAAAAAATAAAAAAGAAGAAAGGAACAATTCTCGTGTAATATTTTACAACTAACGTTGATATTATTCTCTGCAAAGAGGGGGGAGTTTCTCTTTTATTTCGAGGAAACGAGAGAAAGAAAAAAAGAAAGAAATAAAAGAAACAGAAGTGGGTTTGCATTATTCACTTACACGTCATTTTATACTTGCATTCTTTCCCTCCTACTGTAAACGTAACGAGCCAAACAATAACAACAACAACAACAACAACAACTTCCAAGTCTATTGGTGGTAAAATACCGAGAAAAAAAAGGAAGACGATTTTCCTGGGAAGACTAATAATAATATCTAATAATATACGTCGACTTCGTTCTAACGTTACGCACAATGGCTCATTATTCTATTATTATGTTGATAATAGGGACGAATCCAAGGTGTTGTCTCCCACCACCCCCCTCCTCTTCCTCCTCCTCCTTTCTTTCTTTCTTTATTTATTTATTTCGTTCTTTTTTCACAAATATATTTACGATGATAAAATATGTATGCAACCCACTAAAGCTTGTATGCATGCATGCATGCATGCATGCCATGCCATGCCATGACGCGAATAAGAGCGTAAGTATTTACGTTAGGTATATGTTGTGTTGTGTGTTGCACACTGTGCAACAAGGATGAAAGAAAGAAAGAAAGAGGACCACACTCCCTCCTCCTCCTCCTCCTCCTCTTCTTCTTCCTCCTTCTTGGGATGTTGCCTCTCATTCACGGACATGCGTGTCTCTTTGATGATGACGTCGAGTCTCTTCCATATGGGTTTACGAAAAAAAAGAAAAAGAAAAATAAAAAGAATAGAGAAGAGTGTGTTCCATGCGCGCGCATCTCTAGTAAGAAAGAATAAAACTACGAAAACGAGAGAGAGAGAGAGAGATAAATACAGATAGAAAACGTACGAGGTGAAAGAGTTCGTTGAGCGAACAAGAGGACGGAATTTATCTCTTCGGAGTAGTAGTAACTTTGTTATGTAATCTTTTTTAAAGATACCAGTGAAAAATATACCTCCTACGTGTATTTACCTTATACATTTTTATACATATATATACATATATATCTTCAAGACAATTTAACCCATTAAATTTAGTGATTATCTTGAAAAGAGGAAAAAAAAAGCAAAGAAAATTCATACATTATCGTTAATAACATTGTTTTCGAAATATTTTGATTTACGTCTAGCTCAAAGTTATTATTTTCATCGTTTAATCTCTCCCTCTAAGTATATACTCGATTAAAAATAAAATACACAAAATTGTAATATCGGTGTTCGTCGATAGGTCGTCTCTCGAATAAATGGAAATACAAACCCCTTCATTATCCCGAAGGATAAGAAAGTGGAGCTTGTATATACATTGTTTTCTTTTTCCTTTTCTCCCTATCTCTCTCTCTCTCTCTCTCTCTCTTTTTCTCTCTTTTTCTCTCTCACTCATATGAATCCAATTTAATCGGACACTTATTGAGACCGCACGAAAATAAATGCCAAGTCGAAAGAAAGAGAGAGAGAGAGAGTCTGGTATGACGAAACTCGTCTGAGTATGCACTAGTGAATCCTATTATCGTCTAACGACACGACTATGTCACGCGCGCGCGCACGTACATAGATATAGCTAGCGTCGCGTTTTATTTTAAAAATTCGAGCGTCGCGGCGCTACGCGAATGGCGCCAAAAATAAATTCTTATTTTCTTCTTAATGCACATACACTCACATTTAGATTCTACGCGACAGACTTAACGAAATACGAATATAATAAGAAAAGATATATATAGATGGATGGATAGATGGATGGATGGGCGGATGGATGGATAGGTGTAGTAGTAGTAGTAGTAGTCAGACTTACATTAATAAGAGATATGTATTTAAATAGGAGAAGGTAGTTAGAGTAGGCACAGCAGTTCCTAGAATTTCAGTCCTTTTCTCATCTCTTGGGCGCGTTTCGGAGAGTTGGTCCGCTTGAAAAAAAAAAAAAAGAAAAAAAAGGCTTCCCTCGATATTCCAAATGCTATGCGTCGGAGATGAACGATCGCAAGGTCGCTGCTGCTAGCAGTAGAAGAAGATTGGAATGAGAGGGAGGGGAAACGGTTTCAGAGGGGGCTTTGAGAAGGGAGAGGGGGTAAAAGAAGAACGTGGTCTGTCTCTTCAAGAGAGATGTCCAATC